CTTAGAAGTCCCTGTGTGGAATCTGGTCACTATACAGCCCCTGCGTGATGAAGCTATTGTGTGTGTCTGGAGATCTGTAAGCTTCATGGATTGCATCTGTTTCACATGCACTTTGTGTCTGATTTTTTTTTTTTTTCTTTTCCATATCTCTAGAGATCTAATGGATCAGTACTGAAAGTGAGTTTTTCAGTTCAGATGACCTGGGAAGAATAGGAATGGCATACCGTCCTCTATTACCCCATTTCTGTATGGATAGTAGAGCATAGTACAGTATGTTGGATCTTTGCAGCCTTCCCCCCTGCTATGTTTTCACAAGACTTCTTTACCAGCTGAGTGTTATCTAACAAGTTTTACTAAGCTAGAGGCTCTGAGAGAACCTTTGCTTGGAAATGAAGTGAGATGATATGTAAAAGAAAAATGAGAGGAAAAAAGAGCAGGAAAGTTCTGCTTGTCACTCTGAAAAAACCTTTACTCACTTTCCTAAGGAAAATCTTTAAGCTGTACGTTCTGTTAATGTATTTGCTGGGTATGTGCCATTTCAGGGACGAAGTAATATTTATCTTATGAATGTCTCATCCTTTCAGTGGCTGTCACCTTGGTGAACACAAGCAAGCTTTTCCTTCAGGTAAAACAAGATGTTGTCATCTTCTGAGTATGTTTCACCAAAGTTCTGTGTTCATTACGTTTTCTGGTGGTCAGTAAAGACATCTACATGTAAAAAGAAAATTTAGGTGATATTGTAGAGTTTAGATGACTTAGGTGATATTGTAGAGTTCTGGCTATTGAAATAAGCCTTTGCCACTGGCAGCCTGGCAGGCTTTCTGCATTTTACCCAGTAGGGAAGATGTAGATGCCCAGTGTGCTTTTAAGTACAGTTAGCAAATTGTTATTTATTTTCATGCAGAAAACTGGCTCTGAAGCAGAGAGCTTGCAAAGGAGCAGAACCACTTGTGAAACTTGATAATATGGCTAATGGTTTCAGCTGGAAAAAACACTACAAAAAAAAAAAAAAGTCCATGTTTTAGAATCTTTGAAATACACTTTTAAGACTTTAAATTGTAATAAGTTTTTTAAACTATTCTTTAAAGAAGTCAAAATAAGTTACAGACGAGTTCAGTTTTCTGGATGTACAAAACTTTTCAGTTGACCTGAAATTCTGTTGGTTTTTTTTTTATTCCTGGTTGTGTCAGTGTCGTGTCCCCCGTCCCCCCGCCCCAGTTTTTCAAGTTGGCCTTTGAACCCAAAACACAGGCTATTTGCCTGCCTGTGCGCGTGACTGGTGTAAGCGTGTCAGTGATGACTGCAGCACTTACACCACTGCATTGGGAGAGAAGGAATTGCAGCTCTAGAGAACTTGGCTGCAGACCTGTGTGTCTTGCTGCAGTACTGTTCACACCATGGTGACTGCTCCATGTGCTTCTCCATTTTTGGAGATCAACCATCTAGGTAGATAAGGCATCCTTACAGGTGGCTTTTCTAGAGCCATGGTCACTCAGGGCCGAATATCCTTTGGCAGTCCTTACTAGGATGATTCTAACTGCAGAGATGCACACAGCATAGATGAGATCTATGTTTGTAAATATGATACAACAAAGGTGGATTTGTAACGAACAATTGGTGCTCAGGACCTAATGTTCACTTTGTGTGTGTTTTTGGGGAGGGGATGTTACTTCAGACTGGCTCTGCTCTTGTACAATTAATTGAATTCTCATTAGCTCATCTTTCAACTTAATTTATGAAGAATCTAGTTGGCATGTTCTTACAGTACCTTGTGTTATGAACCAAAGCACGGTAACTAGAGATGATCAGGAGGTCATTTTCAAAAGTGCACTCCTGATACATCCTAAGCGTTACCATAGACACATTCATTGTCTCTCCCAGTATGTGATCCTTGGGTCTGTCTGTGAATAGGGAAGGGGACTGCATTACATCCCTCTCTGGCTTTTATACAAACCTGTAAATGGTGAGTAGAAGCTAATAGTGCATCTCTACCCACTTGTAGAGGTAGCAGCTAGGGGCTAGCAACTTACTCTTAAACCCGAAATACACAAATCGCAACCCATCAACTGAAAAGAGGCACCAGCCCAATTTCCTTGCAGCCCGCAGCAAGTGACAACCAGTACCAGAAGTTGTTCCACTTTATCTAGGACAAGTAGCAACAAGTCATACTGGCAGACCAAGCTGAACCTCAGTTCAGGATGACACCAGAGCCAGCCAGGAACAAATATGATCTCCTGTTCTAAAAATTTGGCCCATACTGCAGTTGAAAAATCTATCTTGTGCTCCCTTAATTAGAACATTGGCTTCTATTTATGCATATAAGTTAATGAATATTCATCAGACATGTTGATTAAGGTGAAGTTATTTGCATATTCTTCCTAGATTTTTAGACCTTTACCCTTAGGTATTCTGGTATTCAAGATATTCATGTGGTACCAAGGGAAATTCTGATTAGGTATTGGGGGGAGAGGAAATTCATAATGAAGGTGGTTAGATGTTGGAACAGGTGCTCAAAGATGTTGTGCGCTTCCACTCTTGGAGATATTTAAAACTTGTCTGGACAAGGCCCTGAGCAGCGTGAGCTACCTTTGATTTTAACTTTGAGCAGGAGATTGGGCCGATAGACTAGAATCTAGAGGACTCTTCTAACAAAAAATAATTCTATAATTAATGCAGGAGAGTAATGTTCTTGCATTTTTGGCATTATTATATTTGTAAATGGGCACAAATATGTAACCAGTGCTTTCATGGTTGGTATTACTCCAGAGATAATGAAATAATCCTGTTAAGTGTGTTGCAATACTTTCTAATGAAGTCTCTGCCCTCATCTAGAAGATAGTTACTCATCACGAGCTCATTAACTAGTCAGCATATCTGATTGTAATTCTGTCATAGCAGCTAGTCAAGGTAAAGCCTGATTTCTCCTCCTGCCTTCCTCCAGGGCTTAGTTTGACCAGTTAATGCATGCTGAAACTGCAACAACCACCTTGCCTGTATTAAAGTGCCTCCAGATGAGTTCTAATGGTTTGTGTGGAATGATACAAGAGACTGAGGGCAGCACATACAGCTGAGGGCAATAATTCTTAAATTGCACCAGCCTGAATTGCCAGGGCTGATTTGGAGCCTGCATACAACATGAGCACAATTTAATAATCAACTTTTCCAAGGGAGATAAGACTTTTAAGACACTAACAGATATATATGCCACATGCAATTGCTTTTTGTAACCTGATGCTAGCCCTGACTCTGATTATAGCCCCTGGAAACCTTTCTGAAATGTTATGCTAAGAAAAAACTATAAACTTTCTCAGCTCTACAGATTTTCTGAAGATAATGTGAAACAATTAGAGGCTAAATGACCAATCTACATCTTCTGTCTGCTTATTATGGATATAGTCACCCAATGAGGGAACAGTAACCAAACCATAGGATTAAGGCAATCTCTCATAGAGAAGGCAGTTTCTCGTAATGAATAGCAAGTATATGTTGTAGTGAGTGCAGTTTCAAAGCCAGAGGCTAAGATTCCTTTTACTAGGAAATGTTTGTGTAGTAATTCTGAAACAGATTTGTAAAAATTAAAGCTAGCACAAAAGGTGAATTTTGTGGAATAAATTGCTGGCTCCAAACAGTTCATCCAGAGGTATCTACAACACAGAAGGTAAAGCTGCCTGGAGGTAGCAAAGGCTCAGAACATCCACGTCAGTCTCTTCAGAGAAGTTCATCACATCAGAAGCCTTGGCAGGAAATGTAATAAAACAAATACTAGCTGTACAGCTGGATTCTTCTTAGAAATCAACTTACATGCTGCAAGAGAAGAACGAGCACTGCCCAGTTTCAGATCTCTCCAGGTTTCAGAAAGCCAGGTAACTGCTGTGAAGTCTGGGACGGCCACACCATAGTACATCCAGAGCAAGTGAGCTACTGGGCTCCCTGCCTCTGTCTGAGATTCCTGGTTGCTCTTACCCAAAGATTGCTGCGAAGAGTCTTAGAGTGGGAGAAATTCTTATGTGTAGCTGTGAACCCTACAGCTACCAAAGGCAGCATGTTCATGGGCATCGGGCTAGTCTCTACCTGAACCTTAAGGATGGTTCCACAATCTGCAGCCCTGAAAGCTGGGGGGAAAAATGTGAAATCTTGTAGCCCTCATTGGCAGGAGGGGAGTATAGTCAGTCAGATAACCTGTGCAAGTTAACTCTTGTTGTGCCGTCTTGGGCTGTGTCTGAAGTGGCATTAATGTCACTTACCTGACTTCTCTCACAGGTTGGCAGTTTCATGAAAGACCGTCTGAAGGACTACTTTCTGTTGCCAGCTCTCAGATGAATTGGTCTGTATTAGGCAGAAGACTATACTATATGATCACAGTGACAGCGTAAATTCCTGAAACTCGACAACCACCTTTGCAAAAGTCAAGCTGACCTCACAGGGCAAATGCCTCTGGGCACTTCTGAGATCCAAAGTTGAGGACTGATGTGACCAATACCCTGGTGGCATTTTGAATTTTCATTCTATTTCTTAAATTAACTGTGGGTAAAGACTGTTTCTTGGAGCAGTTTCAAAGTCTTGAAATATTATTATATTTAAAGGGGGGTTGGGGTTTGGTGATGAAGAAAGTTACTGGCCTGAAAGTTCTGAAGGAGGTTGTCTTTTTACCCACCAGGCAAATGCAGTATGGACACTAGCAGTATGACTTTCCTTTTCATTGATCTCAACCCTGTTCAGCCTAGAGTGGGAGAAGGGTTCAGTCCCTCCCTTCATTACCAGTTTGGGGCCTCTACTGGGGTTGTGTTTACAGCCCTAGTAATGCAGTGGGAGCTGAGTTTCACTAGTAGCTGAACTAACATCAGGATATCGGGTTAGTTTTGAAAATTGAATAGAAAATAATGGCACAGTGTTTTCGAGTGTTATTCCTGCTATAGCACAGTTTAAGGATTTCTGTTCTAACGAAGAAAAGAGGAAATATATAATAATAAGGTGATAGCCTAGAGCAATGCTCAACGGATATGGGAGGGGAATTGAGCAGGTAAGTGGATCATTAAGAAGAGTGGCATGTTTAATGCTGTGAATACTTAGCAGCTCTGGATGAAGCCATCTCTAGTTTTCTCATTTCAATTTTACTTGGCATCTGAACTTCGCTGGAACAGGGCTTTGCCAACCACAGAGTTACAGCTGCCGAATCTCCTGTGAGCATCTGTGCTTGTATGAGGATGGTATGGCAGTTTTTCTCTGCATGGTTCTAGTTGCATCTTCCTGCTTATTTCTTTCCTAGGACTCTCTGAAGATGTCAGCCACTTTTCTTCCGGATTTTCAGTGAACGTTCCCCTTTGATCAGAGGAACATGGAATATACTGTATCTGTCAGTGGAGCAGCTTTATGGTTGTTTCATGTTTCTTGTGGCCAGCTATAACACTTGCTATGGCAGCTGCACAGGTGAAAAAAAAACACTTACTGGTTTGCTCTGTAAATACTGTTCCTGGTTATCTGAGCAATGTGCAGAGCTCAGCTGCAGTTCTATTTGATCTTTCTAAATTAGTGCTTAAGGCTGGAGATACTCAATAAATTGCAGTTACCTTATTGAGGGTGTGGAAGGGAAAGTGTTTGTGGTGGGGTTTTGTTTTGTTTATTTGTGGTTTTCTGGTTTTGTTTTTTGTTGTGGTGGTTGTTTGGGGGTTATTGTGTTGTTTGTTTGGGGGTTTGTTTTTTCCCTTAGTCTTGCTTCCCCTCCCGCCTCAAAGGCTGGAGTGAACATACCTATCTATTCTTCTGAAGGTAAGAATTTCTTGGCGTTTTTCTGAGATGACTTTCCAGGAGGGCAGTAGTTCCGATCGTTGCTGCAGTCACTGCCTCTGCTTTCCCTGGGGCTTCCAGGACCTGGATGTTTGGAGGTCTTGAACCTAGTTCTCTTCTGTGTGGGACAAATAGGGGAACATCATGAAGTATGAAATTGTCAGTTCTATAAACTCGTCCTTTTCCTAATTTTCATCAGCAGGTCCAGGCAAATGAAAGCCTCTTTGAGTTTCAAAAGCTAATTCCCTTATGTAGCTAGATATACGCTGATACAGTTGCATTAACTCAGCAGGGTCACTGTTCTACACCTGTGAGAGCAGGTTTAGATAAATGGCTCATGTTTGAATGCCAAACAATAACAAACTTTGTCAGTTTGGGCCACGAAAAGCTTGAGGTTCCCAGTAAGATCCTGCCTGCCTTCTCTATCAGCAGCGGCCTTGCGGATAAAGATGGCTGCATGCTCTGTCCAGTGGTTGCTGCTGTTCTAGAGTCTGAAGTAATTGAAATGCTGGAAATTGATAGAAGACAGCTCTGAAACACTCTGAACTGCATTCTCCTGAGTGTATTACACTCAGCATTCACAGGAGAGTTTAATGGCCTGAAGCCAAAAGGGCCCATTAGCTCATGTGAGCTGACCTCTGCTATATCATAGACCATTAAGTGTCACCCGTTTATCCCTTTATTGAGCCCGGTAACTTGGAATAGACTGAAGTATTTTGAGCCTTGTAACAAAAAATTAATTAGACTTGCCCATTCTAGCAGTGAGCCTAGGCTTAATGCTTCAGAGAAAGGTGAAAATACAGGAGCTGCGTTCTTGTCTGTCTGACCTGGAGGTCAGTTTCCCTGTGTAAGGCGAGTAATGGGGACAATTCCCAGGTACAAGCAAATTCTCTGTACTTTGCTCGGCCGTGTTGAGTGCACACAGTGGCCAGCCCTGATGTTTCTGAGACAAGTAGGGGAAAAAGGAGAATGTATCTCACCATATGCACTGAAGAGCACTTTATGGGCTGGTCGCTACAAACTCTTGGTTGGAGTCTTGATGTTTATTGGCTAATGGCATGTTATTTGGAGGTGGGAACAGTGTTGAAACACGTTGTGTGGCTGGAAAGGAGAGCGTCATGGAATTTACCATTAAAAATCTGCCTGGACTTCAGCTATCATTGAATCATTGCCACTGCAGTTGTACTCTTAGTTCTAGACAGTCTTTAAACATGTACTTAAGTCTTGTTAAAGCCATGGTGATGTAAGCATAAGCCCCAAATTATATATATGGTGAAGTGATGACCTGAATTCAGACCATAATCTCTCTTTCTGCTTTAGGCTTTCGTGATATAAGACGGTAGTAATGTAGTGAGCTGCTCACTAACAGCATTTGCAGTAAAAATAAAAAGTCTGATGGACCTTGCTAGAAATTAGCCTCTTTGGTTTCAGAGGAGGTACTTTCTGCTGATTACATTAAGAAATTATAGCAAATGGAAGAGATTTTTTTTCTTTCTTCCTTCTGTACGCTTTTATTTTGAATCTTGGCTCTGTGTCCTTGTCTGCTATTCTATATAAATCTCTTCTCTGGGCAGGTATCTGATAACTTAAAGATTATTTTCTGACAAATAAGCATTTTCCATTTTCTTGCCAATGCTTCTGATCCATGAAAGCAGCTGACCAAAAGGGAATAGGAAAACCTGTAAGAAGGCAATGTTGTGATTTGGGGCTTTTTTAAAGCTCTTTGCACACTAGCTGTCTTTTTTTAAAAATACTATTCTTAGTTTGAAACTTTAATTCTGGGCGTACATTTGGTGCCCAGATGGTGCAGACTCACACAGAAGCCCATCACGCTGTCAGGGCAGGCGGATACATATGTAAATATTTTGCCTTTTTCCCCTATAATGTTTGGGTTTGTCTAATCTAATTGCTGTCAAAGGCAGAACGTGGAGAATGCTTAAGAGGAGCAAACAATGTGGACCTCAAATGTTTGTATTGCACTAACTTTGGAAGATGCTTGTAGCCTGTGATGTAACTAATAATTATATTTCATAGGCTTTCTTATTCATGCTGTGAATTTATGGTGTATGATAAGTTCATGCTAAGTGAATATTCTACAACCTGAGGTAGAAACCTGTATTTCTAGTGGCATAAAAGCATATTTAACCCCTTGGAGCTGTCGATTATAAGGCTAATGGCTTTGTCTTTTCAGTTCAGGCTGACACTAAGTGTTCTCTACCTAACTCTTGGTGTATAGCACTCTTTTCTTATTTGTATAATTCATTGCTTCATTTAATTTATTCTATGGAGTGCCTGTCTTAATGTATTTTTAATACATAAAAGCTTTTCTGCTGAAAAGCTGCTTCTCTGATCAGTGGTAGCTAGTAGCAAACAGTGTGGCCACCACATTAAGGATAGTTATTTTGTTATTAAAGGTCTGATTCAAAATACTGTAATATTAATGGAAAAATGACTTTTGTGGCTTTGAATCTGACTTCTTAGTGAGGAGGTCTAATAGAACTCGTGTTAGTTGAGGATGCTGGCAAAAAGAATGTAGGAAACGTTGCTGGTTTTCGTCAATGCAAGAAATGTTGTACTCGCTGGTTTCTGATCAGATGTGAAACTTGGCTAGGTTATAATTCATGGAAAGCATCAGGCTATGCCAGACCTAGTCCTCTAAGGACATTAACTACGCAGACAGATACCAGGAGATCAGGGCCTGGAGGTGTGATTATTGTAGAGGAAGGAAAATGGCTGTAAAAGGAGAATGTAATAATGTGACCGGAAGACAAACTGAAGCAGCATGTGGTTCTTTTTTCCATGGAACGTAGATGAAATCCTGACTACAGGGGGAATAAAATTGCCCATCTCAGCCATTCGTGTTGCCATCTGAGGCTTATTTTTCAGGGGTACCAATAAATTCTGCTTCTGAGCCTGCTATGAGGTACCTTTAAGAGACATACCATAGCCTGTTACTTATCCTTCTGCTTGTCTTGTTTCTTGACTGTGGGGTGGAGGGGGCTCAGGAAAATTGTTCACTATCTATACATGTTATTTTTTCTGTGCTGTTGTTTATTGCTGAAGGAAAGACCAAAAATGTTTGCTTTGTGTATCTCCTGGAGTATGGGCATTGGGACAAATTACTGCCCCGATAAGCTAAGATATGAATTTACAGTTTCTACACAGTAAATACTGGTGTGCCTGCTGCTAGCTCATGGTTCAGAGAAAAGAAATGAAAGAAGGGGTGATTTGCCACATATGTATCTGATGGTGAAAGCAGACACTCTGGCAACTACTGCAGGGCCTTTGGTGTACTGTTGATGTGAGCTTACCTTACAGGTGCCTTGTGCTTGTCACGGGCCAAAGACAGTGTTGGTTGTCACAGTGGACTGATGATAGTGATTGCTTTGCTCCTGGCCTTTGCTTTGGTCGTCTGGCCTACAGCTAGGAGGACATGTTGCATTCATTTAACAGGACTTTCTTTTCTGCGTTTTTGCCCTTCCCAGGAGCAATTGAGCGGTGCACGTACATCAAGTACCACTACTCCTCAGCGACCATTCCCAAGAACCTCACCTACAACATCACCAAGACAATCCGCCAGGATGAGTGGCATGCCTTGCGTAAGTGGTGTTGGCTTTCTTCTCCGTTCTCCTCACGTGCAGACTGAGGGAGGTGCTCACTGATAAATGAGAACAGAGGCTTTGGCTGACAACCTGCTCAGAGCCTTCTTCTCACATACAGTTTGTCTTTGTAGCAGACCGATCGATTTGTTCTTAGGACCTACATCTCTGTTTCTGCTGCTGACTAGAAATTCTGCTGAGGCATGAGAAAGTGGTGGTAGGGAAGAGGCATTTGTATGCAGAGATTAATATTGAGTTAAATACAAAAATGAATAACAAAATCAATGCCCTATTTTTTAATTCAGTAGAATGCTCTGTACGTGAATGTATTCTCATGTAGTTCAGGCTGCTGCTGTTTCATGCTTTCAGGAGAATTCATTGCTGGCTTTTATTGTAGGATATGTCCTGCTGCCAGCAGCTCCTGGATGCGTGTGGCATTGCTCTCCTTTGAAGATCTAGAAAGAGAAATGCTGCACCCTTTAAGGCATGGGGAAGGAGCTTAGCCCTCGGTGGTAATTGTAGCCAGTGGTCACCAACTTGTAACGTTTGCTGAAGCAACAAGATCTGACAGGGATGGAATTGCCTTGGGATGCATTGGCTGGCCTTAAAGCTTTTCTCCTTCTCATCTCGGGGATGGAAAAGTGTTTTCACTGATAAAATTGAAGAGGTAGGATTTTACAAGGAAGGATGCCACTGCAACTTGCTCTTGTTACTACGTAGTCATGAGAATTAGTGAAAGTCCTGAGCTCCTCTGTCTCAGTGGAAGCAGTTAACAGCTCCTTGAAGATGGCAGGGGTTGAGGGATGTTGATTCTGATCGAAAATTTCAAAGGTGGTAGTGAGCAGCTACCGTCCAGACTGTGTCAGTTGAGAAATGTGTAAGACCTCTGACTTTTCCAGGGCTTTCAGTCTCTGTTTTACTCCTGCCTTATGTGGCTGTTGCTTTGGGAGGATCCTTTTAAGCCCTGAGGAGGAGAAGGTGTAATGATACAGTTGATTTTCTGCGTTGGGAAGAGTCGGACCTGGTTTGAGACTCATTGGTGCTCGTAGACCTGCCTGGTCAAATTTGGTAAGGCATTAAGAATGTTCTAGAGGGTCTTGCTAAACTCCTTTTTTTTTTTTTTTTGAGACACCTATGTGGAGAAATACATGTTTTTATTGTGACATGACAAAGAAAAGGAATATTGAACTCATACCTGTCAGAAGGTTGTAAGATATTGGTCTTGCAAAATACTATGCCGTGCTCATTCGTCCCTGAAATCAGAAGATCAGGCGGTTCGGTTCCCTTCAGGTTTTCTGCTACCACCTGTCATCTCTGCTGATGCCAGTTTTATGTTAAAGTTGCTTATCTGTGTGCGAAAAGAAACGCACCCCCCACCCAAGACATCATCTGTAGAGTTCATAGGGTAGAAGGAAGGGTCTTTGGTTTATGCTTTTGTTTATGTATGTGTGCTTTTGCCACTGCTGTGAGCAACAATGGCTTTTCTGCAACCATCTGCTGGAAATCTCACTACATATTGTAGGAATTATTCTCATAAAGAAGTTCATCTTTATCTTGGCCATGGCTCAAGTAAAGGGTTATTCTGAAGCTGCGTTTGTATTCCCCCCTCACCCTGAAATATCGTTGCTGATATACGTGGCTGTGTAAGGGACTTGGTGTGTGCATCCCTTGATGGGATCAGCAAGATCCTGAGCCTGGTGTGCTGGCAGATGATGGGAGCCTTCAGTAGGGTATTTGTCAGTCTGCAAAGTGGCAGTCTAGACACACTGTGCTCACACGTTTACGTATCTGATTTGGTCCGAGGCACTTTCAGGGTGAGGCTGCTTGTTCCGTCCTTGGGGAGGGCACGCTGACTGAGTGGGTGTGCATGCATAATTCTGACCCAGATTTTCTTGCTAGTTCATGAGTCAGGTAAGTGTAGGTAGATGTAGATGGAACTGAAGTTTTAATCTCCCTATCTGAAAAACAGGGAAGGAGAGAAATACTTTGCTGCCACCCTTTTCACCAGAGCAGTTAGGTGCAATGGTGAGTGTTTGATATATGGGGTTAGCCACTGGAGGATCTGGAGGTCACTGCGTTTAAGAATGAGCTGAACCTACATGACTAGTTCCTGTGTAGGAAGAGCAACCTTGCTGTTTTTCTCTAAACCATCTGTTTTAAAAGACAAGGGCAATACCAATCTTTTCAAATTGTGTTTCAGTTGAGGGGGATGTTCTCCCTTTGCAGTGGAGTAAACAAAGTGGGGTAAAACTCCACTTTCAGAAAGTCCCTATAATTTTAGTCCCTGCCTTAGGAGCCGACCTGATTTTATACCTCTGGACTAGCTTCATCCAGGGCACAGCTACTTCAGCTCACCACTGCTGACCTTGAGGTAGGATAGTGTTTCCAAGTCAACCTGGCCATTATTTTCCTTTGAACAATTTCCTATTCAGAACTTCTCTTTCCTTGAGTGTTGTGACAAACAGCAAAAGGAGTAAGGCCCAGGCCCGCTGTTGTTCCTGCTCTTGCTACAAGTAATTTCTTGGATCTGTAGCATAAGATAGGAAAAAAAATACATCAAAGTTTCCTGATGGAACACTGGGGCAAAATGGCATCCTGGAGAATTTCAGAGGAACAGTCACCCTGCTAAAGATGATGACCTCTTCCAGGCTGAAGCAACTGCTGTCATTTGCCATGTTTGTATTTTAGTAGTGGTTATTTTCCTTCTCTGGTGCATGGGCAGCAAACCGTGGTGCCTGGGAAGGAAATCTGTTGCTTTGCCTGTTCACTGGGTGGAGCATCAGAGGAGAGAGGGCTCCAGCTGTGCCCAGCAGACTGCTTTTTTCAGACTGATGGGCAGGACTGATGCTCTAGCAGTTCCTCTTGAGTTGCAGAAGTGGGTGAGGGGCAATTAATTTGAGGCTGAGGGCCCCATGGCACCAGGCAGCACAGAAAGCAGATATTCTTCTAGCTATGCTGTTAGCTATGTTAGAAGAACCCAGGGGAGCCGCTGGACCTGGAGGAATGGTTGGAGCTGATTTTATCATTTCTGATTTTATCTTTTTTTTATTGTTTGACATTTTCAAGATGGAACCTTTGCTCCAAATTGATTGCCTATGACAGCATGAGCCCGGGAAATAGGACTTCTCTTCTCTGCAATCACTTCCTTTCAACTATCCCTGGTTAAATAGGGATAGAGGGAGGGATGATTGTAATATTGCCAGCTCTCACCTGTCAGGAGATAAATATTCATCTAATTAGACAAAACCAATGTCTATATGAGCTGAGAGGGGAAGGGAGAAGGGAAGGAAAGCTGTGCCCCACAACTGTGAGCGTGAGTAACTGTCTCTATGGAAGATGCCAGTGTAACGATATGAGCGAGTCACTATTAGGCATTTATCCTGTCATATTTTGGCCCCAGCCTTGTGCACAGAAACTTGATCCATAGTTCTGGCTTCTGAAAAACTCCAGCAGCAACACTTATGCTTTTAGAAATGGAGGTACATATTATTCGAATAAAAATCTAAGAAAATCTGCACTGTTCTAAATTTATTCACATATTCAGCTCCATGAGTTCTGTGCTGTTCTCATAGGTTCACTTTCAGTATACTACTGATTTGCATTCACAAAATGTGTGGAAAGTGATCATGGCAGGGATTTGAACTGTAGAATATGGTACAGGCACTGGGAAGGGTGAGTGGCATTTTTCAGGTGATGGAATAAGCACTTTAACTGGATGCTTGTACTTTAAGATAGCATCAACATAGCCTCCCTTTTATGGTCAACTAACTTTTTTCCTCTTGTCCCAAAAAACTTCAGGAAACCATCATCTGGTATATTATGGCAAGAAGTTAAAAAACTGTGTTTGTTTTGAAAATGGTAGTACCACCAAGGTAATGAGGGAATGTGATATTCATTTGGCATTTTCCAGGAACCAACAGTGCTGTTTCCTAAAGCCACTGTGGGGAGAAAGGCACTGAAAGCCCAGGGAGTATTTAGTCTATTGGCTTACTCCTTGGAGCAAAACAGGCACTTGTTGGGATGATGTTTTATACCATCAGGAGGACTGTAGGAAGGTCATTCCTGTTGGAGTTTTTTGTTTGGTGGCTTGTTTTTTTTTGTGTGGGTTATTTTTTTGTGTGTTTTTTTTTGTTTTGGTTTTTGGAAATAGGCTATAGACAACCCAGGCTCTAAATTGACCTATTGCTGCAGTCTTTAAGAAACAACTGTTTTGTGAAGAAGGGTAACCACAGCATAGAAGATAGATGCAGACAGAAATTTCTAAGTATGCTTAAGCCATATGTCTTATATTTCACTTTCTTGCTGGGAGAGTTAGGATTAGAAACTTATTTTGAGAAAGCCAAATAACGTAGAAAAGAGAGGAAGATGCAGATAAGAGGAGATGGGTTGTCCTCATACTTTCTTAGAGCCAGTCTAGCATGATGATGCTTTATTTTTGCCTCTAGCTTCTTTTGTTTAGACCTTATGCCTCCTCGCTCATTTTTACCTTTGAACATACTTGTATTTTCTGTGGGACTTCTTTGTGCATCCATTCCTTGAACAATTTCAACAAGAACAACTGTGGAGGTACTACAGCGTTGTGGGTTAGCAGGCTGTGGGCTCAGACCTGCCTGGAGCCCCACAGGGCTGATGTGTGCGGGTCACTCTGCAGTCTTCCTCACTGTGGTCTTGACAAGGCAGAGGTAAAAGGGGGCTTCTCCAGGGCCACCTTCTCTCTGAGGCAGCTGAAGAAAGTATTGCAGCTTTAAGGTGCTGTGAACAAGCAAGTTGCTGATGTGTTTTCTTGAAGAGTGAGATTTCTTTTTCTCTCAGGAAGCAAGTCACTGCCTCTTCCCTTTCTCCTGCCTTGGTAGCTGAAATGGGACAAATGCTGCATGATGCTCAGAGCCTTTGTACGGCAGAGCTCCCAATGGCTTGTGCCATATTGCGTGAAAGTCTCCACATCAGAAGGGAGATGACAAATTCTTCCTTCTCTCCAAAAGCTTTTATTTTGCTGACTC